GAATTTGATCATGGCAAGGCATAAATTTTTTACCACTTTGGGTGGTTATAATTTCTTTCAAACTCCATTAGAGTTACAATCAAAATTTATCGTCTTTGCTTGTATTTAAAATCAAATTATAGAATATCAAGAATTTGAAAGAGAAAAATAAAGTAAAATACTTACCTTAAATTCAGAATTAAATCCCGTTTGCCAAGCTCAATGCAATTAGCACAAAAGCAACTGATCAAATATATCTCATCCGTCGAATTTGAAAAATCTGGATTTGTCAATTCGTTGCTCTTCAGAGAATGCAACTCATCACACCAAATTAATTTCCATGGGGAATGAATTTCCACGACAGGATGAGTCAAATACATCTAAATTGTTGATTAGTCTCTCGATCCTATGGCTTAGCTTCCAAATCCAAAACCCAATGGTTCATCATTTTAATCTCTACTCAATTGGTTAGAGCCTCATGTTGATAACGTGTTATAAAACAATAAAAGAAGAAGAAGAAGAATATTGCAGAGAAAAGTAGAAAGAGAGAATTCTTATTGATATGGGATGAATTACAATAGAATAGAATCCTCTATTTATAGGGAGATGGTGACTTAGCCGCCAAGCAATAAACCCTAGAATCTCTCTAAATATAGACATTTACCATAAATACAATTCTATTTATAACACTTAGAATGTAATAAGAACTTTATGTAATTAGTAACCTTAAAGCATGTGAGAATTTAAGTCAGTCATATAGTTTGTCATAAGTCCAAATTTGCCAATATGTATGCTTGTATAGTTGTATATATAATAAGGGCCAAATAAATTAAAATTTTGATAATAATCTCGAAAATACGATCATTCTAATTGCCAACAATATATCAAGAAGAACAACTGGCTGGAGAAAATCGGTGTAATCATTGTATAATGAGTATATAGTGAGTACAAAAACATTATACACTGAGGATAAACTGATTATACATAGATTATTTAGTAATTATACATCTTAAATTTAATTTATACTTTGTATAATCTGTGTATAAGAGGATAATTATTAAGCATGCATCGAGTATCCAATGATTATACACTGCCACTGACCCCATAAACACGCAAATTTGACGCCCCTCCTCCCCCCCCACCCCCAACCCCCAACCCAAAACCCCAAATGAAAAAAAGAGCTTTCGGCAAACGGAGCTGTACCGCAGATGTAGATTTTAGTTTTCTGAATAGATAGAGAGTTAGTTTCAAGTACCTTGGGTCTATTATCCAAGAAAAATGGGGAGATTGATGAGGATGTTACTCATCGTATTGGAGCGAGGTGGATGAATTGGAGACTCGGATCCGGTATTTTATGTGATAAGAATGTGCCACCCAAACTTAAGGGTAAGTTTTACAAAGTGATTGTCAGACCTACCATGTTGTACGGAGCAGAGTATTGGCCACTCAAGAATTCTATGTCCGGAAGATGAAAGTAGCGTAAATGAGGATGTTGAGATGGATGTGCGTGTTAGGACTTCGCCCTGAATTTCTAATCTATTAGGACTCTCTTTCTTGAAGGAATGGAACAAGACTCCTAAAAGGATTAGGCCTCATTTGTTTTTTTTAAGATTAAGACGTCTGAATCTGAATACACATCTGAATATCAAGATGTGTATTAAGATTAAGATATCTGAATCTGAATTCACATCTGAATATATTAAGATGTGCATTAAGATCTGAATACTAAAAGTTAAGACTGTTTGATTTTTAACATCTGAATGCATAAAATTTATCTTTATTTGAAAAATAATAAATACAAAATTCAAATGAAATACTAACTAATCTAATATTCTATCGATAAAATATACAATTTTTTTAATTATGATAGTCGTTGGTGGTGATGGCTAACGGGCGAATACCGACCAGAGGCGGTGGCTGGTGGTAGTTTTGGTTGATGATAGTGGTTCATGCTAGTAGCTAGTAGTGATTGGTAGTGGTGACGATTATGATTGAGGATGGTGGTGGTAGGTGATGATAGTTAATAATGGCGGGTGGTGGTTTGTGATTGAGGAAGGTGGTGGTGGGTTATAATGATAGGCGGTGCCGGCTGTGGTTGTTAATGGTGATGGGGTGGTTGGTTGTGGTAGTTGAGGTGGATAACTGTTGATTATGGGTGAGAATGATGCTGGTCGGAGTGGTAGCGATGGTGGATGGTGATGGTCGATAATGGTGGCGGCTATGATTGAGGATGATGGTGGCGTGGTGGTGGTGGTGGTGGTTGAGTATGGTGGTGGTGGTGGTGGTGGTGGTTGAGTATAGTGGTGGTGGTGGCATGGTGGTAGTTGATAATGGTAGGCGGTGGCGGCAGTTAATAATGAATATGTGATAGCATCTTAATGAAATTAAGTCTCTGTTATAGATCTTAATCATACAGACCTATTCAGACCCGTTAAGTGGTTGTGAAGTAAAAAAAAAACATACTTAATGATTAAGATCTGAATAATTAAGATTCAGACTTAAAAAATAAACGCACTTAATGTATGAGATCTGAATGATTAAGATTCAGACCTCCATTAAGTGCAAACAAATGAGGCCTAAATCTCCTTGATATGTCTTATTCTTTTCTTGGAAGACAAGTTTTGCACATCTATAAATTAAGGATCTCTACTTCTCACAAGAGCACAAAAAAAAAATATCCACAATGTAGTCATTAAAGAGTTTTGTTTAGGGGGAGATTTTTCTCTCGATAGTTTTTCTTCTTTTATATTAGTTTTATCATATGTAGATCAATTGACCAAACCATTATAAACTTTATGCTTAGTTTAGTATATTTTTCTTTTGTCGTCTGATTTATCGTCCACCAAACTTTGTATTGTTAGTTTCCGCATGCACCATGTTATTTCGATCTCAACAAGTGGTATCGGAGCTAATGGTTCAGAGTCAACGGTAGAACGAGGTTGAAGACAAATTCAATGCGTGTTTAGATCAAGACGATAATGAAGACTTATTCAACATGCTACATGTGGCGATAAATTTACAACCATAATTGTATTCAAAACGCCTGTTGCTACATCTTTATTAGAATAAAAATCTTTCTGACCCATATTTTGGCCGCTTTTAACCAATGTCAGTTTTAAGTCATGCCTACTTGCAACGCATGAGTTCCAGTGCCAGTTTTAACTCACGCTTATTTTTAATGCATGAGCTTCTTTTACCCCATGTTTATTCTTAACACGTGGGCTCCTTTTAACCCATACTTGGGCTTCTTTTAACCAATACCAAGATTTTCAACCTATACCGATTTTTAATCATGGCAAGCAGCAATGATGAAGAGATGTGAAGAATGTGTATCAACTTTGTCAAGAAAATTCAGGCCAAGGGGGGAGATTGTTAGGACTTTGCCCCGAATTTCTAATCTATTAGGAATAGAAAAAGACTCCTAAAAGGATTAAATCTCCTTAATATGTCTTATCCTTTTCTTAGAAGACAAGTTTTGCACATCTATAAATTAAGGATCTCTACTTCTCACAAGAGCACAAAAAAAAATATCCACAATGTAGTCATTAAAGAGTTTTGTTTAGGGGGAGATTTTTCTCTCGATAGTTTTTCTTCTTTTATATTAGTTTTATCATATGTAGATCTATTGACCAGACCATTATAAACTTTATGCTTAGTTTAGTATATTTTTCTTTTGTCGTCTGATTTTTCGTCCACCAAGCTTTGTATTGTTAGTTTCCGCACGCACCATGTTATTTCTGTCCCAACAGTGCGGACATACTAGGATTGATAAGATTAGAAATAAAGACATACGGGATAGTGTAGGAGTAGCCTTGGTGGAGGACAAGATGCGAGAAGCGAGGCTTAGGTGGTTTGGGCATGTGAAGAGAAGAAGCTCAGATGCTCCAGTGAGGAGGTGTGAGAGGCTGGCCTCGAGTGGTCTGAAAAGGGGTAGAAGTAGGCCAAAGAAGTACTGGGAGAGGCAATAAGGCAAGACTTGGCGTTGCATCAGCACACTGAGGACATGACCTTTGATAGGAAGGTGTGGAGGTCGAGAATTAGGGTAGAAGGTTAATAAGTAGTCGAGTGTGCGTCTTCCCTATACCGGTAGTAGTAATAGTCAGCCTTGTATTCTGTTATTGACAGTCTTGAGTACATATTTTCTTATTATATTGCCGTTGATACTGCTTGTTCTCTTATTATCTTGTTATTGCTACTGCTTGTTCTTTTATTATCTTGTTATTGTTACTGCTTGTTTTCTTATTATCTTGTTGTTGGTATTGCTTGTTGTACTGCTTTCTTTTTCTTTCCTTAAGCCGCGTGTCTATCAGAAACAGTCTCTCTACCCTCAAGGTAGGGGTAAGGTCTGCGTACACACTACCCTCCCCAGACCTCAATCTTGGGATTATACTCGGTTTGTTGTTGTTGAATGGATAGATCAAAGGATTTACCGCCAAAAAAAGAAATTCAAACCTTTCAATGTGCAAATCAGGTAATTATTAAGGGATTCATAAAAATAGCCGGTTGGATTCACTATTTATTTTCCAGCCTATATACATAAATTATATACCGATATTCATATTTGTACACATATAATATATTATATATCTATGACTACTTTAAACTTAGTGGGCGCTTTGACATAAGAATTGTAAATTCAAAAAATGGAGAAATTTTTTTTCAAGTGAAATGGTATTTGAAATATAGAGTTGTGTTTGGACATGAATATGATTTTGGGTTGTTTTTGAAGTTTTTGTAAGTGAAAATTTTGAAAAATAATTTTTTGGAATTTTTTAAATTTTCGAAAACTTCCAAAATACATCTTCAAGTGAAAATTGAAAATTTTACGAACAAATGCTAATTTCGGAAAAAAGTGAATATTTTTTCTTGAAAAAAAAAGGGAAAAATAGTTAGGTTAAACAAGTACTACTATTTAAGTTAATTTTTCAATTAACAAGGACATATAAGTTAAGTTGGGCCCAGCTCATAATTATGGGCAGCAACTTCCAGCCCCATAGAAAAGCCTTATAAATAGAGACCTCCTCCACAAGTCAATCAAACTACACTACCTGCCACTGACCGATCATGGCTACTCATAGCAATTTGAAGAATGTGTTGATTGCATTTGTTGCTCCACTTCCCTCCATACTCTTCTACCTCTCTTTCCTTCGCAATTACCATGAAAATCAACATCCACTTTACAATTGGTGCTATAATCACCCTCTTCTTTTTGCTAATCTCTTGTTTTTCCTCAATGTCAATGTACTCTTCTGGCTCATTGGTTTTCTCCTCTCTAGCCACTGGGTAATTTTTACATGAATTCGTCAATTGCGTTGTTTTGTTCTTTACTTAGATTATAATTTTGTGTTTCAAATTTACTAGGCTATCTTGATTTTAACTGTTTGTTAAGTTACTACCAATGTTTTTTTATCAATTTGGAGCTAAAACCTAATCATTTTATAGTGCTTGTTTTCTATTTTAACAAGAGTCTACTTGGGGATCTTAATAGCTCGGTTGATAGGCTACCTGAATTTTTACCTTGTTGGTGAGGGTTTGATATCTCTCCCCCCCCCCCCCCCCCATTTCCCCTACCCCTATATAAAAACAAAAACAAAAACAAGAGTCTACTGTTTATTTTGTTTTTGGTTCTTAAATTATGAGGTGAGCTTAAAGAAAGAAGTGAAGATTCATATAGCCAACCCCAACGTGTTTGGGATTCACATAGTAGTAGTAGTAGTTGTCGTTGTCGTTGTTGTTTTGTTGTTGTCGTTGTCGTTGTTGTTGTTGTTGTTTCGTAGAATAAAGTCGAACATTAACTGAAAAATGGGCCAGATAGTGAATTTGAAGTGAGAAGGAGGGAGTACTAATGTTTTGTGATTTTTGATAGATTTGATGAATTGGCTTACCGTTGGAATTTGATTTTTTCAGATGATAGATTTGTACTGGACAGTGATTCCAGTAATGCTGGTGCATTTCTATGCAAATCATCCATTGGCACAGTACAATGTTTGGAGGTCCAATGTGGTTATAATATTGACTTGGATTTGGAGTATAAGGCTTACGCATAACTACTTCCGGCGTGAGAATTGGCAGTGGGGACACAGGCAAGATTGGAGATTTACAGATATGAGCCATCAGTTTGGCAAAAACTGGTGGTGGATCTCTTTCTTTGCTGTTTATCTCTCTCAGCAGGTAATGAATTCACTACTTTGTTTCTTTTATATAGCTTACTCTTTAGGAATATATGCCTGATTTTAGAGCCATCAATTTATTGATAAAATGAAACATTTATATATCATTGAATTATTCATTCAGAATTGAGGATGTATGATTATTTATGCAACTTCACTTTATGTCTGACTTCTTTCTTTAGTAGTTTTATTTGTGCAATGAGAAGAGTCCCATTCATAAATATTCTTGTAGGAAGAGGACGACCCCACATTACTAACATGAGAAAGTAATATTTGCCTGATTTTAGAGCCTACGACATATTGCCCGTTTCCTGCATCTAGATATAGCATACCTAATTACTACTTTCAGATTTGTTGCGTGATCTTCATGTATGTTGGAAATTTCTGCTGCTCAATCAAGCGGTAAAAGAGTATGCCTCATAAGCAAAGTGCATTGCAGTTATTCCCTAAAAGTGTCTGCTCTTCTGAAGATATAAATTATTCAGCCCATTTAGGATTTAGTAAAGGCAATTCTCATATGTAAAATGGTCGATTGTTCTATAAGTTCCACATACTTTTGTTAGTATTTCTGTTAGGCACAACCATATGAATAAAACATTGTTTGCTCAAAAGCATGGAACTGGTAAAAGACCATGCTATATCACATTGTCGCTGAAAAACCAACTTTCTTGGCCTTTACTAAATGTGTAAATCAAGTCTGGTTGATGTAACATTTCGGAATGTGACATTGAATTTGCAGTGGTCAGCTGGTGGAACAAAGAAATATTCGTGGCTCCTTTATCATCCATTAAGGTGTTGTTTATTTTTGTTCTGTGACATGACTTTTGCAGGTTTTTCTGATGGGTATATGCCTACCTATGTATGTGGTCCACTCCGAAGACAAGCCATGGAATATCTGGGATTTCATTGCCGTATTCATCTGCTTGTCTGCCATCATAATCGCCTATTATGCGGATACACAGCTCCACGATTTTGTGAGCAGAAATCAGAAACTAAAAGAGCTTGGCGAGCCAATGGTTCCCAATCTCGACGAAGGCCTCTGGAGGTATTCACGACATCCAAATTATTTCGGGGAGCAGTTATGGTGGTGGGGACTCGTCGTATTTGCCTGGAACTTGGGTCAGTCTTGGACTTTTGTCGGTGCACTGACTAATAGCATGTGCCTGGCACATGTCACTGGGCTTGTTGAGAATAGGATGCTTAAGCAAGCCTACAGAGCTGAAGCATATAAGCTCTACCAAAGGACTACATCTGTGTGGATACCATGGTTCAAGTCATCCTCAAAAGGAAAAGATAAGAAAACTTGAGCCTATTTTCGATCTATTTGATCTCTTCCCTCATTAAATGTCCACGATAAGAACAATTGAATCAGTAATCTACTGTATTGTGCTTTGTAATTATGTCTCTTGTATAATTCATTTGCCTGCATTTGTCCCTTGCAAATCTGCAACCTTCTTATCATTTATCCACTGGTCTTTAAAGCTAGCTAAGAAGAATTGAGAAATGTCCCGTTTTGATTTTACTTCTCACAATTCAAGACGTATTTGTTCCTTCCTTACAATTTCATTTGCATGACACCTGCAAAAAAAAAAAAAAAAAAAAGACAGCACGGTGCAGGAAGTATCCTGCATTCACGTATGGTGGATGTGATATAGGCAGCCCAAGGCCTGACTCGCACAAATAAATGAATATTTCTGTACTTTTTCTGGGAGCAGGAGCTGTGTATCTAAAAACAAAAAACTTAAGTGTACAACTTAATACAAAAACTGACCAGAAAAAGGGAATTTAGTACTTGATGCATAAAACTTTCACATAACTTCATTAATTCTAATACAACAACTAACAGCACTAAACCAATAAGTCAAATTAAATATCTTTAAAACACGATTTCCACAGGTCCATGGAAAGATAACTTCAATAGCAAACTTGACTTTCAGTATTCAATTAATGATCCATAAAAAGAATGCAGTTTTGATATTAACTTTCATATTTAATTGCTTTAGGAATTCTATCAATAATTAGTTTCAAACTTTCAATGCCAGTGTCATTTTATTTTTCCCAAACAATCAGCTTATAAATAAAGAATTGGAAAATAAAATATTTGATGAAGTAGACAGGAAAAGTAGAGAATTCCTAGAACTCAAATGGAAAAAAAAAACTCTAGTTTTTATCTACATTTCGTCTTCTTGTTCCTCTAACCGCTCTGCTCTTCACAGGCACACATGTTTCAACTCACTTACTTTATTCATGAGAAGCAATGACCCCTTGCTTTGCATCCCTTCCTAGCTTTAAGCGAAGAAAGGGTTGCTTTTTATAAAACTAAGCAGGAGTATTGGCAATGATAATGTAATTGTTTTGGAAATTCATCCTGCCCTTGTAAGAATGTTGTTGCTTCGAGTTGCCACCCAGGTTGATGGATTATATAATGCAGCGGAAGCAATTCGGCGTCAAATTCACGAGTAAAATAAATAACTAGCACATATAGAGTTTACACGAGTTACCTCTTGAAGCATGAACTAAGTACGTGTATCGCGTTATGATCACGCCCAACTATGCCTTATAAAAAAAGACAATGCGGGCGTTGCAAATATAACCTGAGTATTGTGCCCAGAGTCGAATCCACAGAGAATTAACCTAATCATCACTATCTTTAGACCTACTAAACTCTTAGAATCAATTTCCCAAACGTTGAGAATCATATTTGATGGTGTTTTTAATAACTAAGATTGACAGTAACTAGTAGCTGCAAATTAAAGATGCTAAGCTGTAAACAATAATGAGAAAGCGCTAAGGTACTGATTTCCCCTATTGATGGAATTCCTTCTGTTTATGTTTCATACAAATTCACCCACACATTCTATCAATCATGAACGCTCTTCTTACCGTAAATCTCTCCCGAGTAATCATAGTAATTTACTTAATGCACTCTCCCGAGATACACTAGCTAGCTTTATTTATCACAGTTCACTTAAGATTGCACCCAAGACTTTGTTATCCCTAATCCCGCCTTTAAACCCGCAGTTATAGATCCCTCTTATACTTAGGGAGTGGTGTTGTTCAACATTCACCTAAATATGCACTTTCTCCCAAGTTATGCACACTAAATAGGCACAGCTAATTGAGGATCCTGTCAATTAACTACAACAAACACGTAGTTGAACAAATAGAAATTAAAATGGCAAACTGTATTCACATAAACAAGAAGTTCATCCCTCAATAGGTTCCATCAAAACCCTAGACAAAAGATTTAGCTGCTCATGACTATGGGTAAATAAACTAGAACAATATTAGTAATCATAGTTGCAAGAAAAATTAAAGAAGAAGAAGATATGATGTTTTAGGTTATCTCTCACAATTGTTTTGCTTGCTAAAATATTCTCCAATACCAATCTTGCCTCCTTTGGGCGAAGTCTAGTATTTAAAATAGGATTTTGGGCTAAAAATCCCGTGTTTTGCACTTAAGTCCCTGAACTTTTCCGCCTCTGCCGCGGTTCTGCATCGGTCGCGGTTAAACCGCGGCCACACACCTTCTCTGAATCTCAACTTATCCGCGACAGTCTTCTACCGCGGTTCTGCCACGGTCGCGGTGGAACCGCGGCAGTCCTTCTTCAGGCCTGGCTTGAGCTGCTTCGCTTGGTTCATTTGGCAAAATTTTACGGTTGGCCTCTTTTTCTCCATATTTGATCCCAAAAGTACTCCATAGCCTTCTCTTGTCATATATCACCTGCAAAGCATGAAAAGCACTAATCAGAGCATTTTGTTATCACTTTTATCATCAAAACTATACAAGAAGGTGGTTCTTTAGGGCCTAATTAAAGTTAAATTCACCTATTATCAACACCCCACACTTAAACCTTTGCTCGTCCTCGAGCAAGTTAAACCACACTTCTAGGCCTAACCGTTGGATGCATTGCCCCAAGTTTATGCTATACCCGCCATTATGAACGAATAACCTAAGCAGTACAACAGTCACACTCAGATGCAGACTCTAACGCCATGACACACTCGTGCTTACTCTAGTAACTCTAACAGAGGTGAAAACTCACTTTTTCTTCCTGAGTCACATGCCCTCACATCACAAATCTGAGAGAAGTTCCACACACAATAAATTAAGCAACAAGGACAGAATTCACTCACT